TACCATTTTGCATAACTATAGTACAATATCACAACCAGGAAATTCATACTGATATAATCCACCAACCTTATTGATATTTTTCTAGTTTTACATGCATTCATTTGTATGTGTGTGCACTTAGTTCATTGCAATTTAAGATATGTGTAGATTTCTGTGAGCACCACTAGAGTGAAGATACAGTACAGTTCCACACAAGGATTCTTTGTGCTGCCCTTTTATATCCATAGCCACCTCCCTTCTCACCCCATTCCTAACCCCTGGCAACCACTAACTAATCTGTTCTCTATCTCTATATTTTTTGAATTTCAAGAATGTTATATAAATGGAATCATACAGTATATAACCTTTTGAAATTGGCTTTTTTTCTCTCGGCATAATTTCCTTACTATCCATCCAAATTGTTTGTATCAACAGTTCATTCTTTTTTATTGCTGAGTATTATTCCATGGTATGACTATACCACAATTTGTTTAACCATTTACCCAGTGAAGGCCTTTGAGTAGTTTCCAGTTTTCAGCTACCTAAGGATAAAGCTGTTATGAACAACTTGATTGTTTACAGGTTCTTATGAGAAATAGGAAATAAGTTTTTTTTCAGTTTTCTGGGATAAATGCTCAAGAGTATAATTGCTGGGTCATATGGTAAGTATATGTTTAGTTTTGTAAGAAACTGTCAAACTAATTTCTAGAGTGGCTATACCATTTTACATTCCCACTAGCAATTTATGAATAATCCTGTTTTTCTACATCCTCTCCAGCATTTGGTATTATCACTATTTTTTAAGCCATTCTGATAGATGTGTAATGTGTGTGTGTGTGTGTGTGTGTGTGTGTGTGTGTGTGTTGACCCTTCTCTCATTTGTCTATGAGAAGAGAAATAATTTAGGTATAGTTAATAGCAAACTGCTTTTATTAGAGGTTTCTCAAAAATATTATATAAAGACTTTACACCTTCTTTAGATAGATTATTCCTGCAGAATTGATAAACTAATTCGCCATAGCTGCTGACCTAGAGTCAGACATCTTTTTTTTTTAAAACAGAGTTTAATCGAGTAAATAAATGAATTGGGCATCCCCGAACCAGAACAGGTTCAGAGAGACTCTCCAGACATCTTTATATGACAGCCTCAGACCTGGGACTTACCTGCATGGCTTCCCAGCCTGCAAATCTATACCCTTGCTTTCTGAGCCATTCTTAGTGTCCCTTTAATCCTTTCTTTTCTCTCTGCAGGTCCATGCTTACCTGTTGATTCTTAAATTCAAAGAAATATGAAAAATAATACATCAGATATTTTATTTATTTTACTAATTTAAAAGCAAGCAAAACTTCTTTGTTTACTATGTATTCATCACCTTCAATTGGTGTCCTTTGGCTTGTAGTTCTAACTGTACCTGCTGGTCAGGTTGCAGAGGAGACTATAATTGAAGATGAAGAAGAAGCAGAGAATTTGCCACTGACAAAGAAACCAAGAATAGAAGAGATGACAGACAGTGTGGAGGAAAGCAAGGTAACTTTTTTAGCAGTTATGGAGAGAGGAGAAAGAATCAAAAGCCATAACTATTAAGGCCTGAACCCTTCTTCATCTTTTTGTCTGCTGTCTGGATAATTTATGATCAGGAATTGTTACCTGATGATGACTGGTTTACTTTTATAGGAAGGCAGCGAGAGAGAGCTACTACAGCATCAACTTCAGGAGGCCAATAGAAGAGCCCAGGAATACCGACACCAGCTCCTGAAGAAAGAGCAGGAAGCAGAACAGTACCGTCTTAAGCTGGAGGCCATGGCCCGACAACAGCCCAATGGAGTTGATTTCACCATGGTTGAAGAGGTGGCTGATGTAGATGCTCTAGTAGTCACAGAGGGGGAGGTGGAAGAGAGAGAGACAAAAGTGACTGGGTCAGCAGGGACCAAAGAGCCTCCTCATACTGGAGTTTCCGTGGAAACTGTTTCATCTTAACATGCAAGGGCCACAACTTGCACTGTGTTCATCTTATTCCTCTTTAAAAAAAAAAATACAGGCCATGCGTGGTGGCTCACGCCTGTAATCCTAGCACTCTGGGAGGCAGAGGCGGGCAGATCGTTTGAGCCCAGGAGTT